GGGGATGCAGAGGTGACCAGTCTGCACACAGTCCTGGCCGCGGCGTGTACGTTCTGCTGTAGCCAACTTCAGTTAGACCCGACATTGAAACAGAATGGAAATGTGGGAGTGCATTATGTAAAATAAAGAATTCATACAAAGATGCACATAGTAAACAACTTAGTGAATTTATTTGGAAAGTAGGAAATAAGCATGATTTTAACATTTAGAACATGAACAAAACTAGAAAAAGTCCAGCTACCGAAAAGAAGGCAGAATGCTGAAGTTGGCTTCATGGCCATACAGTGCAAACCAGCCAAATCCTACAGTGCAAACAGCCAAACCCAAGGTTCTCTCATGCAAATAAGCATTAAGGAAGAGGAGGAGAATGTTTCCAGAACAGGCCACAACAAACAGTCTAAAAATTTACATAAGAAACTGTACATAAATGAAAAAATAAATTAGACAATTTACAAAAAAAGTCTTATAGGTTACAATAGGCTATAACTTAGTTTGTTATGAATAAAATTTGTAGCACATCATACATTTTTACATCAGATTCAGTGTTAGGATTCCAACATGACAAAGCTTAGACAAGAACAACTTGAGAGAATAAGGCAACTTAAACTGAAATGGCTTGTAGAAGTAAAGTTAACACACACAAACATCTGTGTATGATTTGGTCAGTAACTGGGCAGAATTAAGACAAATGCCGTTGAACTTCAGTAAAAATTCAAAAAAGTGAAAACACACAATGCATAAAAAAATGATAAAACCATCTTAACATGACTTACATCTAATTCCATTCATTATGTTTGGACAAGGAGACTACAGAGTTACCTGCTGTTTCTAAATGTTGTAAACTAAAAAGGGCCCCTCGTAAAAAAAAAAAAAAAAAAGGCAGATTTCAAAATGGCTTCACACCTGCGACAACTACTGACTGCAGGCACAGCAGCCATGATGCAGAGGGGGGGAGGGGGGCGGGTGCGCAGGCTCAAGTGACCGCAAACCATCTGCATTATCTACTCATACTTTACCAATGGTGTTAAGCAGATGTGCCCTTTGATAGCTACTGGAATTGTAAGCACTGCAACATGTGAACGATGTTAAGAAATAGCAAAAAAAGGAAAACAGCACTATTTTAGAATTGAAATTTAGTTGCATATTTATATAATTCAAAATCTTGATTTTGACCTTCATTTATGCCTTTGAAAAATATATTCCTCATTAGTTCTTTTAAACACAAAATTAGTGGCAGCTGTGGCAAACAGACTGAAAATGTTTAAGAAAAATAATCTTTGATTACAGTGAGGGCCAGAATGTAAATAAAGTTATAATAATGCACATATAATTTTGAAGTTAACACAACAAAAATTCCAGATACGTTTACACACTTTAATATATGTATGTATCGCTTCATATTAGTTTAAGGTATATCTACTTGCTCATTATAAGCAGTAACATAACATGATAAATAACTAATACCATCCTATTGGTTGGGTGAGAATTCAAGTCCAGTACCTATCAACATATACACATAAAATACATCCCAAGACATGAGGCCAGCATCTGAACCGACTGGGTCAGTCACTGCAGACGCTGCCACAGGAGGCAAGTACCTGCCTTTCCCAGGAACTTGATGACAACTGATGATCCCACTGTGACAAATCAATGTCCTTGTTTTACAAATAAAACATTTAAAGAAGTTAGACCAGTGACCGGTGCCATTTCTAATACAAAACCAAATTATGACCCCACGTCCGCTGACCACACAAGACTGACAACCCGGTCTGCTGAAGACATCGGAACTTTTTGAAAGTGGAAATTACTCAAAAGCTGTGATGAGTTACTTTTCACAACAGTTTTTAAAATAGGCTATTAAAACACTTTAAAGGAAGAAAATTCTTTCTTGGGTCTGCCAGTTACCAGGCTCAGTACTGAAAACAGGTGGTGGTAGTACAAAGCATACCATTTTGTGAGATTATCTGATGAAAAAACAAAGTTGGCTGAATTCCTCCGGTGTGAGAATAAAATACAGTAAGATAAACCAACTTACTGGGAAATAGGACATCACTGACATTTCATGGCAAATCATCTTAAACAGGTCAAAGAGTATTATTACAACAGGCAACATGTTTCTAGTATTTTGCTTATATTAGTACATACCACAACGCAGTAAGTGAAATGAAAAATAATGCACATTCATTTTTTCTGGTGATTATTCTTTCAGTCTTTTTCTAAACTACATTCTCAAATGCAATAGATTAAAAAGCATTAAGTACTCAACCAGAAAAAAATAATACACTAAAAAAACATGAAAAATTTTCTATATGATACAGACTGGTTACAAAGGACATTTAGAAGCTATTGCTTTGCTAAGCTTTCCACCCAAGAACGCAGCCTTAAAAATCAAGGCGAGCCCAGCTGGTGTGCTCAGGGGTTGAGCATTGACCTATGAACCAGGAGGTCACAGCTCAATTCCCGGCAGGGCACATGTCTGGGTTGCAGGCTCAACCCCCAATAGGGGGCGTGCAGGAGACAGCCCATCAATGATTCTCTCTTATCACTGATGTTTCTATCTCTCCCTCTCTGAAATAAAAAACATAAAAAAAAGAGAAAGAAATCAAGGTGAGACTAAGAGTGATGAGCTCCTCTTAGAAGGCAAAAGTACCGCTGGACACAGAGGAAAAACTTCCCTCTGAGCTGCATCCTTTCGCTTACAGAAATGAAACTTTCAGAAACCAGAGCTTATAACACAGCAATCACATTTGCACACAAAGGCAAGACTCAGGATCCCTTGCAGTCTAATATTTGGCAAATATTCTGAACTTCCTAAAGGCCTGTCAATTACCATGTATATTATTGGCAATAGCATTGACTTTTCCTACACTAAGAGTCCACGTATTTAAATAAAGTAGCTGAACAGGAACTGCCAGGCAAGTCTACCAATACTTTGTCTTGGGGAAGTTGGGACATGGAACTGAAAGCCACTAGTTCTAAAACTCTCTAATTAAAAGGCAATCTTTTTTGGGGGGCGTGACAAGTTCTATTTAGACTTTGTGTTCTTCACTGAGCCTCAAAATAAGTTGATAGTGCTCCTGCATTTGAAAATGTTACTCAGTTTTTACAAGTGAAAATTAAATCCGAAAGTTAAAAATTCTCTTGTACATGACTCAACAAAGAATAGGGCCTCTTTTTAATCCTTTAAAATTGGCTTCTCAAAATTAAATTAGATAAGATGGGGGGCATTTAAGTCACTGGAATCATCAAATTTGCATCAGTGTAGGAAATACGCACTTTGGAGAGTGCTGCGGGCAGTCAGAATGTGTGCTGGGCACTTTATCAGTATCACTGGGAAAGGAGACACTATGATGGGTAGGATGCAGTGTAAGGTATTTTTGGAATGGTCAGAAATACAGCTTGTCTGTATAAAATTAACTATCCAAATGAGCTACTTCCTATCCCTTGTTTTTAAAAAATAAGGTTCCCATATTTCTCCCTCTCAAACATGCTTTTAAAAGCCAAATTTTAAGAGCTAGTTTTAAAACTGCATTAATACAGTAGCCACTACCCAAATCTGGCTACTGAGAACTGGAAACATGGTTAATGTAAATTGAGGTGCACTCTAAGTATAAAATACAAACTGGTTTTGAATACCAAGTGCAAAAGACCAAAACGTAAAATATCTAAGTAACTTTTAATATTGATTACATGTTGAAACAATAGCATGTCGGATATTTACTGAATTAAATTGAAACATATAATGAAAATGAATTTCACCCATTTCTTGTTACTTTAACTGTGCCTACTGGACAATGTAAAATTTCATGTGACTCACATTTTCTTTCTATTAGCGCTGTTCAAGAACACAAAATGGTGAGGCATTATAGTGATTGGGATCATAACCAAACCTATTTACCATTGTATTCTCACATGGAGGTCATAATACAAAAGTAGAATCTTGGCAGCCTTCATCATAATTCTGTGTTCTTATTATTCCAGTCATTCTAGATTATACACGAGAAAAGCCAAGTGCAGAGTGGTGAGATAGCACTCCCCTTTACATGCGTGTTAGCAAGTACCTGCAGTTCTTGAGGACAGAAAGTAGGAATCATAGTCCCAAATTAAACAAAGTATTGATCAAACTAACTTGTAGAGATTTTGATCATTCCATTTCTTTCCACCTAAGCCTACAGCTACTAATGTACCGTTTGCTACAGAAATATAACTTGAAGTTATGGTCTTTTAAAATATTCAAATATTCAGAATTAAAACTTTTTGTACCAATGCCCAAATCACAAACTTTTAAAATAAGTTGAATTGGCGGCTTTTGGCTGAAATACCTCATCAATACAATGGAAATATGAAAGAAACGTTTGGTCGTAGGTTTTCAAAATATACTGAATGACATGAATCCAAAGATCTAAATATTCTAAATTCTAAAAAATTATGCTGACATACTTTCTCTGCATATTCATCAGTACTCATATTAATGTCTTTAAATAAAAGAAAACCGAATTGTAAGTATTTGAGCACAGATTCTGAAAATTCTAAGCACCTCTTGATAGTCTAGTGAAAACTGTTCTCCATGGAGCAAAACTGTGTTCTGTGGAAACACCACAATACTTCTCCGTAATGTAAACAGCTATAAGTTCTTCAAAGCACATCAGACTTACTGGTAACCTAAGGAGGTGACTAGCTTCCCCAAGACTCAATACAGTGGGGCCTTGACTATGAGTTTAATTCGTTCCGAGACCGAGCTCATTAAGGAGTTCATTAACTGAAATTACTCTGTCAACTCAATGCAAAAAATCGGCTGAGAGACAGCTGGTATCTCAAAAAACTTGTTAGTCGGGACACTCGTAAGTCAAGGCCCCACTGTACTTCATACAAACCATGAGCAATAGTCTCTAACGACGTTGCTGAGCTCTAAAATGTTACTGCCAAAGTAAAAATCCGAAAAGGTTTATAACATTATAAAAAATGATTCAAAATAGAGAACAAATTCTAAGGCAGAGGGATTTACAGTAAATTTAGGAATTATAATTTTTATTACCAGGATGTACAAAAACACTGATCCTTTTATAATTTTGCAGTATGGCCTCTGAATTCCAGTTTCAAAAGCACTCTGACTTCTATAACATCAATTTAGAATAAATGTGATTTTGTGGCTGTTCATAATAGAATTAAGTCTTTAGCTTTGATGGTTCAGACCTAATTAGACAGAAAGGACTGAGTCTGGGCCTGAGATAAATGTGGTACAGAAAGAACTCTCCAATCATGCAAACCATACTTCGTTAGAATAGTCTTTGGGACCTCATCATAGGACTTTCAAATAAATAATTAAGCTTCCAATTACAAAATATTAAACACTGTAAATGTACTGATTAACAATAAAATCTAGAAAGTGCAATGTCACCAAATATGTGCATTTTCTAGATTCATTTAAAATTCAGGCTAATATTTCAATTAAATTATGGCATTTGAAAAAGGTACTTCTTTTAAAAAGGTTATACTTCTGGGAAAAGATCACATAAACATGCTTTTTGGGGGGATATGTTAGGAAAACAACAATGAATAATTAGTATTGCCTTGACATTTCTAAAATCACATAAAAATTATCATCTTTGATTGCCATTTCAATTTATTTTGATACAGGGTATGTTACGGTCTGCTTACTAATACCCAAAACATAGAACAGACTTGTAACAAATATTCAGAATTAATTATTTTTATGAGATAAACATTTCTGAGCCTTTTAAGATTTGTTTGAGCATACAGTACTGCAATGTTGGCTACATAAAATAAATAGAAAATCTTTTTGAGAGAAAGCTCAATAATCAGAGGCTGTACTGCATTTAAGGATTTAACACTGGCTATATACAAAAGGGAAAGCATTTCAATTAGAAATACTTCACCTGCTACCGAGTTCTTGCTGTTACTATGGCAACATTTAGCAGCTTACCATTTTGACATTTAAAAAGCAACAGGAATAGTGCTACTCTTTTATCCTTCGTTTCCAGTGACAAATAATGCAGCAATTATGCCTGTGGTTTTCAGTTCCTCTTGGATGACATTTATTATCAGAGATAAACCTGATGCTTTTAGCTGAAATTTGGCAGCCCAAGAAGTGCACCAACTGCTCCAAAGTATCCCTGTATAATTTAAAACAATTATTAATGTAGTGCAGCTCTTAAATTATCATACAGTACGAACCACTATTAAGAACACATTTATATTATAACAACATCTATTCAGAAATCTACCAATTTGTTTTGTCAGCTATTATAAAAAATTTTAAACTGTATTCTCAATATATACACCTTTTAAATACCTACTTTTAAAGTGTGGTTTAAAAGAAATTAAATGTCTTTTTATTGATTTTATTGATTTCAGAGAGGAAGAGAAAAGGAGAAACAGCAATCACGAGACAGAAACATTAATCGCTGCCTCCTGCACGCCCCCTACTGGGGATCAAGCTGGCAAATCGGACATGTGTCCTGACAGGGAATCAAACAGTAACCTGGTCCAAGGGTTGACGCTCAACCACTGAGCCACACCGGCAAAGCAAAATGTGGCTTTTAGACACTAAAATTTCTAGGGCTATTATTGCATTCTGTGCCCCCTCCCCTTTCCTCAATTAACTTCCCTTGGCTAAGCCTGCCACTTTCAGTGACTCCATCCCGCATCCAGCAACTTGGTGTTTCTCATTCTGATCTCTACAGTGAGAGCAGTGACAATGAAACACGAATGCTTTTAAGGAAATGCTCTGAACCTGTGTTATTAAAACTCTTGTAGCCAGTTGACTGACCAGAAACAAAATAACTCGAGGTAAATTTACTTAATCTGAAACATTATGTAAACTGTTATTTGCTTAGATCAAAATTTAACTGGTTGTAGTGAATATGAAAAAAACAAACAAAACAAAACTCCAAAATGTTAACAGTGGTTATCTCTGGCAGTGAGGGTGGGGATGTGGTGGGAAGATTAATTTTCATTGCTAAATTATATAGTTTTGTATTGTTTACATTTAACATTTGTTACCTCAGAGGAGAAAATAAGATCCACTAAGTGTACAAGCAGCCCAATATTTAAGGAGCTGATACTGCCCTCTCAGAATTGTGAAGTCTCAACTTAATGCGGTGCCTGCCAGGTTACAGTAACCCTGATCCCCCAATTCAAACTGAAGTGAGGAATCAATATACAATTTAGGTAAACTGTAGTTTGTACTTTACACAAGAAGCCTGCATATAAAAGCATGCTATTAAAATTCACAAACATTATTTTGCTGTCATACCTCATGCTCTAGAAACAATGCTTTCAGTTGTCCTTTTGACCAGTAATCCAGTGCATATGCCAAAAGTTTCATTGAGAGAGTATTGACTCGTAAAAAGTTTCCAACAAAGACAACTCTGTTTATTTTCTAAAGGAAAAAGAACAAATAAAATGACTTTAAGAAAGAATTATAAATAGGTTTCACAATACATGAGGGTTTACAAAATCTCTACTTAAAAATGTAAATAACTACCCCTTGCTAGTGCCTGCTACATTCCTGGCATACAACTCCATAATCCTGTATATTTAAAAACATGACTTTTGGACATTACTACACACCTGTCTACACCCATGGAATGTACAGCCAGAGTGAACCCAAGTGTAAACTATGGACTTTGGATGGTGATGGTGTGTCAGTGTAGGTTCATGGTTGTAATGAGTGAGTCAGTGAGCTGCCGGATGGAAACGGGAGGTGGTGCAGGCGGGTCAGGGGTATATGAGGACTCTGTACTTTCCACTCATTTTTGCTGTGAACCTAAAACTGCTCTAAAAAATAGTCTATTTTAAAAAAGAAAAGTTCTGGAAAAGATGCCACTTAATGATTATAGATGAGACCTGTTTGCGAAAATGGCCAAGAAATAATTAATATAGCAATTTGGAGAGGTGCTGTTGTTGAGATTAAAGGAGACCAACCAAGGAAGAGTTAAATGTGTTTAGGATCGCCCTGACCGGTTTGGTTCAGGGGATAGAGCATCGGCCTGCGGACTCAAGGGTCCCAGGTTGGATTCCGGTCAAGGGCATGTACCTTGGTTGCAGGCACATACCCAGTAGGAAGTGTGCAGGAGGCAGCTGATCGATGTTTCTCTCTCATCCATGTTTCTAACTCTCTATCCCTCTCCCTTCCTCTCTGTAAAAAAAATCAATAAAATATGTTAAAAATGTGTTTAGGATTAAAAGCAGCTGTAAACCTGGCCAGTATGTTGCAATGTATGCTCAACAATGACACGCAACCTGTGGACTTTATACAGAGCTGGAGAGCAACACTGACTGGGTAGGGCATGCACACCGACTGAGGTTAAAATGCCTGCTAGTTATTCCCTCAACCAACAACTACACTGTTATTAAAAACTAAAGAAATAAAATTCTGGATTTAAATAATAATTCAGAACATTAATTTGGGTTTTGGCACAGCTGTTCTCTCTGTTGAATCCTCTTTCCCCCAAAATATCCACATGTATGATTCTTTTGCTTCCTTCAAATCTTTGTGCAAATGTCACATCTTCAATAAAGCCTCCACCAACCACCCAATTACACAGCAATCTGTCCTCTGCCACGCTCTGGTCTATTCTCAAATTCTCTTTGTCCTGTTTGATGTTCTCATTTTGAAAAACAGCATTTGTTACCTAACACAAACTAAATACTTATTTACTACATCACTCGAATAGATGTAAGCTCCATCACGTCAGAGATCACTGTTTCCTTCACTAATGTATCCCAAGTGCCTAGAACAGTGATGGCGAACCTATGACACGTGAACTCATTTTTTTGGTTGATTTTTGTTAAATGGCATTTAAATATATAAAATAAATATCAAAAATATAAGTTTTTGTTTTACTATGGTTGCAAATGTAAAAAAATTTCTATATGTGACACGGCACCAGAGTTAAGTTAGGGTTTTTCAAAATGCTGACACGCCAAGCTCAAAAAGTTCGCCATCACTGGCCTAGAACGATGCCTAGCACATGGCGACCTGTACATATTTATCCAACGAATAAGTGAATGAATGAAGACTCACAAAGCCAAATTTCCATTCAGTTAAAAGCACTTGACATTTACAAAAATTCAGTGGACCCTGGCCGGTTTGGCTCAATGGTGGAGCATCAACCCACACACCAAGAGGTTGCTGGTTTGATTCTGGGTCAGGGCACATGCCTGGGTTTCGGGCTCGATCCCCAGTAGGGAGCGTGTGGGAGGCAGCAGATGGATGTTTCTCTCTATTCCTCTCCCTTCCTCTCTCTCTGAAAATAAAAAAATCAATTAAAAAACAAATTAAATGGACAAATATATCTATTACATGAAGAAAGAATTGTATATATAGTCTCCTTCAAATAAAAATAACCCAAATATGAGATAGGTCTAGCTAGCAGTACATGCTTTTCGTAAGTATATGAAGAATGAGTCTCAATGCCTTCATAGCCCTGTACAATGCTGCTTGATCCATATGCAACAAGGCAGCACTGTAAAGAAGCCGAGGGCAGTAAGAAAACTTCCAAGCACTTCACCCATCAAATGCAACAGCACCAGGAAAAAGACAACACAAAACACACACTCACACACTGCCTTTTCCTCTTACATCTTTAAGAGATTTAGGTCATGTACGGCCATGTGCTGCCTAACCACATTTTAGGATCACATATATGATGATGGTCCCAAAGGATTACAATGGAGCTGAAAACTTCTATTACCTAGTGATGTCATAGCCGTGTCACAGCCATCCTGACGTAGCACAACACGTTACTCAAATGTTTATGGTGCTGCTGGTGTAAACAAACCTACGGCACTGCCAGTCGCATAACAGTACAGAACAATTCTATACAGTATATACAATCTGGCAATGATAATAAATGTCTGTTACTGGCTTATATACTTACTAGAGGCCTGGTACACAAAAATTGTGCACACTCGAGCAGGGGGGTGGGGGCATGGGGGTGAGGGGGGAGTCCCTCAGCCCAGCCTACACCCTCTCGCAATCTGGGTCCCCTCAGGGGATGTACAACTGATGGCATAGGCCCACTCCCCGGGGATCGGGTCTTAGCTGGCAGTCAGACATCCCTCTGGCAGCCCAGGAGCCCTTGGGTGATGTCTGACTAACAGCTTAGGCCTGCTCCCCATAGGGAGTGTGCCTAAGCCATCAGTCGGACATCCTTAGCACTGCCATGGAGACGGGAGAATCTCCCGCCACTGACGCGGAGCTTGCCAGATGTGAGCAGGGCTTTTGGCTGAGCGGTGCTCCCCTGTGGGAATGCATTGACCACCAGGGGGCAGCTCCTGCATTGAGCGTCTGCCCCCTGGTGGTCAGTGCGCATCATAGCAACTGGTCGTTCCATAGTTCGATGATCTGCATATTAGCTTTTTATTATATAGGACTATACTATACTATACTATACTATACCATACTATACTATAAACTTCTTACTGTAATTCTAGAGTGTTCTCTTTCTAAAAAGAAGACAGTTTGCTATAAAACAGTATGCCATTTTACACCAGCAGCAGCAGCAGCAGCAGCCGCCGCCTCATAGATCTTTGGGTCTCTTGCATTTACCAATTTCCTCGTGCTTGATTTAATCTCACGTTGTTTGGTACAAGTAATATGCTGTATAGGCTGGTAGCCTAGAGCAATAGCTCTGCCACCCAGCCTACGCGTGTGTAGGCTGTGCCATCCAGGTTTGTGATAAATGTGCTCTATTATGTTCACACAATAATGAAATCACCCAGTGACACATTTCTCAGAATGTACCTGTCATTAGGCAGCACGTGACTGTATTTCCGAGAAGGCGAAATGTAAATGTCTATTTGTGCTATTTCTGATTTGAATTACCTGCTACTTTCTTGAAAGGTCATGTAACAATTGGGTACATAACATACACACTTAATGAGTGTTGGGTGTTAACATACATCCAGGAGTCTTGGGGTTTAACGGATTAGGTCTCTATCCTATAGGTCTCTGTAAGAAACATGAAGAAGCCCTGCTATATGCACATAAAACTCCAATTCACATATAAAAAATACTCCAGCCCATTTTTTCATATAATTAAAATTTTCTTACCTCGTTATCAGCACACATTCGTGCCACAGAACCAATGTTATTGGTGATAGTAACTAAAGTAGCTCTTGCTAGATCTTCTTTACTAACAGATTCTCGCTTCTCCTTATAAATCATGTTGCCAAAACTGCAGCGAAATGAAAAAACAAAATCAAACCTGCTGATAAAAAGCAACATTTCATACATACAGAGAATTTATCCTACAGATAAATCTACACATATACAGGGTTATTCATTGATCCACTAAACTGAACATACCAAAATAACGGAACCCAAACATCACCAAACAATGAAATAGCATGAAGCTATTAACAAGAAAGAAAGAAGGGAAGGAAATAGAGGCAGGAGAGGGATGGGAGGGAGAGAAAGAAGGTAAAGGAGGCAGAGAAAGACTAGAGTGTGTGTGTTTGCGCACACACACACACACGCTGTTACAGTATATATACACACACACACACATATATATATATATATATCTCGCCCTAGCTGGTTTGGTTTAGTGGTTGAGTGTCAGCAGCCCACAGACTAAAGGGTCCTGGGTTTGATTCTGGTCAAGGGCATGTACCTGAGTTACAGGCTCGAGCCCTGCCCTGTGTCTCTCTCATATTGAAGTATCTCTCTCATATTGATGTTTTTGTCTCTACCCCTCCCTTCCATTCTCTCTAAAAATCAATGAAAAAACATCCTCGTGTGAGGATTAACTACAACAAAAGTGTGGAATAACAAATCCATGTCTCTTTCTATCTCTCCCCCCCTTCCCCTCGCTCTATAAAAATAGTAAAATAATAAAAAAATCAATAAAAAAATGTTAAAAAGTATATATATATAGCAGCGGTTCTCAACCTGTGGGTCACGACCCCTTTGGGGGTCAAATGACCCTTTCACAGGGGTCGCCTAAATACATCCTGCATAT